CCACCCTCAAATGAACAAACAAAGTATTTTTATCTTCTGCTGTCTCTTACTGTCTTCGTCGTCTTTCTCATCGGTGAGGTCCTCGCTGGAGGGGCCCCCATCCATCTCCATCTTGTTCACGTGGGTCGAGTCTGTGTCTGCACACAAACAAGGGAAAGCAATTAGGCCCGAGTGCAAGAAAAGGGGAGGTAATTAATTTATCCTACAAGAGAAGTCCCTCCCTATTTGGTTTTGTATGAGAAAACCTTAACATAGTATAGTTTGGGTTTAGTTTTTTGTAAGAGTTTTATGGCATTTGCAATACAAGTAGTTTGTAGAAGTGCTGAAAATTAGAGGTGTTACTTGAGAGTGTAGGCCTAATACAAAGAAAAGAAGGAGAGATAAGGACGGTAGATGTTAGATAAGAAAGAGCAAAACATAAAAGAGCAACCACCAATCACCCACAGTTTAGTTTTTGTAAGAGTTTTATGGAACTTGCCATACAGATGGGCCATTTAAATGTCAAAGATTAGAGGTGGAACATTCAAAGAAAAGAAGGAGAAATAAGGAAGATAGTTATTTGATAGGAAAGAAGGAGCAAAATTAAATCACAAAAGAGCACCAGTAGCCAACTACAAACCTCACTGTGGGGGAGGTTGAAAGTTTCAACACATAAATTAGCATGTCACTATCCCTTATGTTTAAACAAGCCTGATAAATCCATTTTGTTATATATACAGTACGTCGAAACAAATCTAAAATCGACAGCAAAATAACTATGTTCTTTCATTTTCTTTTTAAACCACTAAATAAACAGAGTAGGCCACAGTATAGATCTATTTGAGCAGGCTTATAATACAGAGAAGTGCATCAATACAATGACAGTCATATAGTGAATGGAAAAAGCAAGATAGACAGGAATAGATACAGCCGCAAAAGTTTACATGAAACAAACCCAAAAAACTTGTCGAATTTGATATTTTATAACGCTACCAAGGGAAAAGAAATCCGTGGCCAAAACTCCCATTCCAATCAGCTAAAGTGTCTTACTTAGACCCTCTTTTTTAGTTTTAGTAAGAGTTTTACGGCACTTGCAACACAATAAGGTCATAAAAGTGCCGAAGATTACAGTCGTTACAAGAGAGTAACAAACACAAAAAAGGACGGGAGATAAAGACGATAGACGTTTGATAGGAAAGAAGAAGCAAGGAGCAATTAACTACACCAGACCACCCGCCAACCACCCACTTAGACCCTCTGAAGCTATCGTCAATGAAGAACAAATATTTAAAATCATGAAAACTATTCAGAAGGGTTGAGTGAGCAGTATGGCAGAGGGAATACTGATCCTGCACCTCACTGCTTAAGGACAATACACAGACAGTGGTCGGTCATTCATTGAAAACTAAGGCACAGGGATATTTTACTAGCAAAAACTCCAACCAAAAAAAAAGGGGGGGGGAAAGGGGAGGTAACTTCTTGGAGACAACAAAGCTGAAACGGGGAAGTGACAACAGATGTAAGATACATCAACCCGGAAAATTACAGCAAAGGAGTAGTTTAGTTTTAGTAAGAGTTTTACTGCATTTGCTACTAAATAAGATCACATAAGTACCCAAGATTAGAGGTGTTTTATGAGTGTAACAAAAACTAAAAAAGAAAGAGGGGAGATAAGGATGACAAGACGTTTGACAGGAAAGAAGGAGCAAGCCGCACCAGAGCTCCAGCCAACCACCCACACAGCTGTGTTATGAGACAACAGAGAAAGCACCAGAGGGAGGGGAAACACTGCTTACATGTACCAAAAACAACTGAAAGGTGAGACATTGGTAGGCAAGCATGCTGGGACAAATAATCTTATACAAATAACATATCAGACCTAAGTTGCCACAGGAAATAAAAAAAAAAAATAAACACATAATTAGTTGACAAGGCAAAACATGATTTTCTGGGACTTAAAAGATTTTAAAAAGTGTGTTTGAAAGACAAAGAAGCATATCGAAATATTGACAAACATAACTGGGGAACAGAGTAACTAAAAACAAACAAAAAAAACGTACGTTTTCCAAGGTTGAAAACTACCGTAAGACCAGTGCTTGTCAACTTGTTTATAGCCAGCAGAGCAAGCTTTTACCATCTGTAATAGGCTAAATTTTCCTCCCAGCCACCTATATCATCGGCCAGTACTAAGCCCAGAATTTTGATACTTTTTTCAAAAAGCTGTTTCTTAATCTGTGGTATAGGTTGCATGTACTCAAAAATTATTCTGTCAAAATTCAAATTGTCAAGAACTATTTTGCTTTAATTCAAATTCTAAATGTTGAAAAAAAACACCCAAAAAAACAACCACCTAAAGTGAGCATGATCGTTAAAAGAAAAAAAGTGTTTTAGTTTTAGTTTTAGTAAGACTTTTACGGCACTTGCAACACAATAAGGTCATATAAGTGCCGAAGATTAGAGGTTACAAGCGAGTAACAGACACAAAAAAGAACGAGGAGAGATAAGGATGATAGATGCTTGATAGGAAAGAAGGAGCAAACCACACCAGAGCACCCACCAACCACCCACGAAAAGAAAAAAAAGTGTTTTTTCTCTCTCTTGTAAAATTTTGCTTACTGGACTTACTACATTCAATCAGCTTGCCAGCAACATAAGCATTTCCAAGAAGGGTATTGAACAATGCCTGCCACTACCCCAGTTATCTCCACTGCCCACCAAAAATGCCAAATCGCAGACCACACAAGAGCACCCGTCAGCCACCCATAGGAATCATGATAGAGGCGAGAATGCATGTTGTAACATGTAGGACGATTCCCTACCCTCACTACACATTATAAGCTTTGAGAAAGGAAAGGCAACCACAAAGCAGTGAACATAAGAAGAACAAAAAACAGTGAACATAAGAAGAACAAAAAACAGTGAACATAAGAAGAACAAAAAACAGTGAACATAAGAAGAACAAAAAACAGTGAACATAAGAAGAACAAAAAACAGTGAACATAAGAAGAACAAAAAACAGTGAACATAAGAAGAACAAAAAACAGTGAACATAAGAAGAACAAAAAACAGTGAACATAAGAAGAACAAAAAACAGTGAACATAAGAAGAACAAAAAACAGTGAACATAAGAAGAACAAAAAACAGTGAACATAAGAAGAACAAAAAACAGCACAACAGAGAAAACAAAAAGCAGTTGAAACGACATGGTAATCTCTTCACATGGGATGACTGCTGACATTTAAAACATTCTAAACAGCATAATACTCATGATACAAAACAGAGAGGAGGAAGGGAGGGAGCGAGGGAGCGAGGGAGGGGGTATATTGTTAGGTATCAGACTGTTATCAGAACACACATATATATACTTGTGTAGCTTTTTTTCCCCCAAAGGTTGGGGGGGGGGGAGCTGCAAAACAATAAAATATAAGGAGAGACACAACAGGAAAAAAGAGGAACCATCCCAATGTGCTCTGTAGCCATCATCTTCTTGATAACTACACACACAGAGATACTATAGAACAAGCCAAACCAGGAGGGAACAAAGCGACTCAGCTCTATGCATCACCAATGAAAGCAGCAACATTATTTTTTTAAAATGTTTGGGTTAAAGAAAATCCACAAAGCATTAAAACAAAATTTCAGCTGCAGATGAGTCATAAGAACTACACAATAATGCCACACAAGTATTCTTTCAGACACTCTATAAATAAGAACAACAAATTAAAAGTTATCACATCAAAAAACACCAAAAGCTGTGAAAATAAAGACATAAAATGAATTTCGCCATTTAAAAAAAATTACAAAACCAAAATAAAACGAGTAGAAGCACCACTTTTCCATTCAAAAACGAAAATGGGACCAATCTAGAGCTGCCACTTTACTCTGGCAAAGGTTCTAGACATATCAAAATTCATCCAGAAAGACATGTTATCCATATGACAAATTCTCATTGGTAACGAGCTATTCAGACAAAATGTCAGATGTATTATTTCATTTATACATTCTTCAAACATCTATTATCAATATTATTAACGTGCTGAAAACAGCCAGTGTCGAAGACTTCAAAAACTTGCGAGGGTGGAAAATCCTTCCCCTTCCTAATAAAGTGTACCCAGACACATGTCCAGATAACTGATGCTTTCAAAATGTTTGTCACTTTCACAGCAGACAAAACATTTCCCAAATTCTTAGCTTTCCTTTTTTCCCCACACATCCACATCATTAACTTATCAGTTTGCATCGACCATGAAAAGTACATGTCTTGATGATTCTTACCCGCTTAGTTACAACAAAATTCACTAACCCCAAGGAAAAAAAAAGAAAATCCCTTTTATCAGAAAAGTGACACCTCTAACAAGGTAGCTATTTAACCAACACAAAAGAGGGGGGGAGGGGGAGGGGAGGTGAAAAGGAGGGCTGTGAGTGACACATGCAAATAAAAAAACATCGGGGGGGGGGGGGGGGGGAATGATGGGAGTGGAGCGTCAACTACGGGCAGAGGAGGTGAGCTGCCGCTGGGTACACAGAGCAACATCCCGACACGGACTCACTACCTGGGACTTGCGGTGGTGTGCTCTCCTCAGTGGTAGCGGCGGTCGTGGTGGTCGATGGAGGGGTGTCATCGCCAGGGTCTCTTCCTTCTCCTTCTTCTTTTCCTTCTTCTTCCTTCTTCACTACATCCTCACCATCTCCTGAGCCGCTGTTATCTTCCTCTTTTCCAGCAGCTTTTTCCTCAGCCGCCTCCCTCTCTTCTTTTTCTTCTTCCACAGCAACAGATTCTTCTCGCTTCTCTCCTTCCTCCTCCTCTTTTTTCTGATCCTCTTTCCCAACATTTTCATCGCTAGCGATTTCGGCCCTCTCTGATGCCTGTTTTTCCTCTTTATTGCTCGGCTTCTCTTCTTTGTCTTTCTCCACAGCACTTTCTTTAGCTGTAACGTTCTCATCTACTTTTTCACCAGTCTGACTCTCCGACTCGGGCACCTCTTGAATGACCTCATTTTCACCATTCGACTTTGTCGACTTAGACTTCTTATTCTCCACGTCTTCCCCGCCATTAGTGGCAGCTGCTGGCTTTTCTTTCTCTTTCAAGGTCTTTGTCTCGGTCTGCTTCGTGACAGTTCCCTCGCTCATCTTCCTGGGTGTGGCCTCACCGGAGGACTTAACGCCCACGCTGGCCACAGAGGAGGCGGAGCTACTGCTGTCAGGGAGGAGGGGCATGGCTGACGAGGTGATTTTCTGCCACGACGGGCCTCCTAATGATGAACAGGGCAAGCAAGCAAAAAATCCATTACCACGTTAACAGAAATTCTGGAAAAACGTGTGAATTTGGGCTGAGAACTGATGTCAAAACTCAAATCATTACAATGCAGCCTGCCAATAACAGTAAAAAAAGATTTTTTAAAATCCCCTGCTCCAAAAGCTTAGGCTCTAGGAAAACTTGTGAAACTGGACCTATAATAAAATAGCAATCACAATCGTGAGGAACACTTCAAAAGTCTTGAAAAACCTCGAACCCTGGTGCCCTACACCGTTCTGTACCTCTACTGAGTAATCAGCAGCAAGCCTGATGAATGAGGCAATTGAAAGTAAGACCCCAAACTTTTTTCTTGGCAAAAAAAAAGAACTTACCCTCATCACAGGACTCTGCACACATGTCAATATACACGAAGAAAAGAATAATAATAAAAAATAAAGTCGTTCACAAAACAAACAAAAAACTGTTGGACATGAACTGAACTCTTTCCCAGCATTATCAAAATAATTTTTTCTCCTACTAATACATGTAGAATAAAATTTAGAGCAGACTTTCATCATACCATGACGGATGACGCATTCATTAACATAAACATGTTTGGCACATTTTAGGAAACACATCATCGACTAATAAAATCAGATTGAAAAACTAATTTTCGCACCTGACTTAACTTCATCAACAAAAAATAAAACATCTTGATGCCATCTTTCTTCCTCAAATAAAACCATACCACAACAGCAGCAGGACACTGTCCAAGTACAGCAAAATAACGAAAATTTTCAGTCGTCAAAAATTTTTTAAAACACACATACAAAGGAGAATGACTATACAATCACTTAGAGACAGACTTCCATCACCATTCAATCACTTAGAGACTTTCAACACCATACAGCCATACAGCGACTTTCAATACCATAAAATCACCAGGAGACTTTCATCATCATATCCTAGAAACAAACTCTACAAAACCACTTCTAATATAGTGGAACCTGCTCTAAGGGCTACCTTTTCGGGACAATCACCTGTACAAACAACCACTTCCCACTTCCTCCATTGCATTTTTATCTCTTATCTATCTGTGGTGGCCGAATTTTGCTATTCAAAAGGCTTTTTAATGACTGCATCGATCGACAAGCGGTTTTCGCCTAAAGATTCTTTAAAATATTCTCCAAATCATGACGCCCTTCTTTTTTTCAGTTTTGAGACAGTTTTGCTGCAAAAAGCTAGATTTCTTTATTTCGCCGATCGCTTTTTTAGGCCGACGCTTCTGTCTCTGTAATATTAGAAAAGGAGGTTTCCGTTCACTAACCGTGCTCACTGTTTTGAGAGTACAGATCTAAACCTTCTAATTTTGCATCTCTCAAGATTTATGGCTCCATTCCAGTAGAATGTAAATATCACAAGTCAATGACTTTCGGCTGACGTTAATGCCCCGATCATTCCTTTTATCGAAAGGGGCGCCAGCTAGTTTATCATAATGACACTGCCCAAGACATCCACCTGTCAACAGCCACTTTTCTCATACTCTTTGGGTGGTCATCTTGGACAATTTTGATTGTATCAGTATTAAAAGATGACCTCTCATATACAAAACAATCTTCTTCTCGATACACTTAAGAAAACGAAGCGAGTATACAAAAAAAAAAAAGTACCAAATCAATAGGATATATAAAAACAAGTGCAGAAAGGTAAATATTCTTCCACCACAAGGTATTCAAGAAAATTTAATAAAGCCATGTATAATAAGTAGGGCCTGTCAAAACCTGTAGCAGGGCTCCAATAAAGCTTCTGCTCTTATTGTCACACTTTTCCATTCTACTACACTATACATATCATGACTTCAATACTCAAAAGTCATTTTGTTTTTGTTTGTTTTAGTAGAGGTTTTACGGCGCTCGCAACTTCATAAGGTCATATGAGCGCCAGAAGATTAGAGGTGTTACAAGAGAGTAACATACATAAAAAAGAAGGAGGGGAGATAAGGACGATAGATGTTTGATAGAAAAGAAAAAGCAAACCACACCAGAGCACCCGCCAACCACCCCACAAAGTCATTTTAGGCAACAGCAAAATATGGACAGATATAAACCTTGTTTTCTTTGGCGCACTTTAATTCTGGGCCATGGCACAGTAGCTAAATAAAAATGTTGAAGCTAAAGAGAGAAACTACCCACATAAAACTTTTTCCTTTTCCAAAACTGACTGCATAAGATTTTGGTAAAAACATCTGAGCAGAAAAAACACCCTTAACAATAGATGCCCACATCCAAAAATAATATTTTTTTTAAATATCATTATCATTATTATTCATTATCTATTGTTACTTTAAGCACTTTTTTATGGGGGGGGGGGGGGGGTGGAATTGAAAAGCAAGTTTTCCATTTGATATCCCAATAAAGCAACTATTTGCCTCACTCACTGAAACATTGTACAATCACAAACTCTCTACAAAACCACTACACAGAGGAGGTGGAGGAGGAGGAAAAATGCAGTTAATAATTTCATGCTTATCGTTATGGCAGTAGAAGTTTGAGAAAAAACCCATTAGGAGTCGGCGTTACAAATCTTAACTACAAGAGAGCATAACGAAAGAAGGAAAGCTCAAACCACACTTTGGAGTCACCACTGAGTCAAGGACCTGAAATTCCCACACAGTTATAGCAGGAAACAAGCAGTCAGATCTTACTACAGAGGTGTGAGGCAACGAAAGAGACGGTGCAACGGCAGCAAATTAGTAATTTTTCATTTCACCTAACCAAAAGCACTGTTATCATTTATTGTGTGATGTGATGCCGGCATATATCTCTACATAATCACCACTTTTCAGATGTGGAATGACAATTATTCATAATTTGAGCAGCCAACCTAACTATCAGTAATTTCTTATTTCACCTGAGAAAAAGCACTGTTATCATTTCTGAGATGTGAAGCCAGAAGACGGCATTCGTGATCCCTACAGAGTCATCACTTTTCGGATGAGGAATGAGCAACGTTCAAGAAATATGGATCTCTCTGTAAACACGTAGAGAATGCTCCATTTTGAGTGAGCTCGCTATAAATCAACACCAACCCTCCCAGTCATGTATATTTTCTGAAACTTTTATAATAAACCACGTATGAGCAAAAAGAATCTGCAATCACTCCAATATACGAGTATATGTGCAAATCTCAACAGATACTCAACTGAAGAGGTAGTTACAAAGAGATAGTTACTAAGGACCCACAAAGTACAATGGAAACATAAGTCTTAGAAATATTCTCCTCCGCAGATGCATTGATCATCATCAGACATTGAGGCATAAACTGTCATCATCATTATTATTACTACTATCATTATTACCATCGTTATTATTATTACTACTATTACAATTATTATAATAATAATTATTATTATTATTATTATCATTATTATTAATATTATTATCATTATTATTTTTATTACTATTATTATTAATATAATCATTATTATTGTTACCATTATATTATTACGGTTATTATTATTATTATTATTATCAATATTACTAATATCAATATCATCATAACATTGACACCATACATATTACCATTATTATTCTTATAATTATAATTATTATTATAATTATTATTATTATTACTATTACTATTACGAAAAGCCCATTGCACCTTCTCTATCTGTTCTCATTCTGAGGCCCATGCACCAGGAGAGCCACAAAGCGGCCACTACTACACACACACACACACGGTACACGTACCCGAGCCCTCCTTGCTGCCCGGCACCACCGCGGCGGTGGGCGTGGCCGCAGGGGATGGTGGTTCCAGGATGTCTCGGTACTTGGACACCATGAGCACCGAAGAGAAGTAGACAATGGCCAGGGCCAGGAACTGAGCTTGTTTCGTTTCTTCCTGAAAGAGGAGAAGAAAAAAAAACGAAAAAAAAACATATTTTCACCGTTAATTCTCTCTACATCTCAAACTGATACTCGTATTGATTTTTTTTCTTTATCTATTGAATTGATTTAGACATCTTATGGAAAGAGTGGTCCAAAAACCAGTTAGAACGTTTTAAAAAATAGAGCTTAATTAAAAAGAAATTTGTTCTTTTTTTTCAAATTAAGATAGGTAGAGAAATCTGGGAAAAGGTCCAAACTTATCAGAAGGTAAGAGAAACAGGAAGATTAACATTGAACACATCAAGCATCAAGGGCACAGTAAACCACCTCCCCCCCCGGCCCCCGCCCCCCCGCCCCCATCCCCCACCCCCAACAATATAATCCTGGATCATCTGATATTTCTGAAATTCCAGAAATTTCCAGGGAAAAAAAGTGAGTCCTCTTCAGCACTGACCACATCTCTGTACACCACAGCCCTCAGCCTGTTGATGTCCATGTCCTGCAGGAGTTTTTCAGGGTCCTTGATCGGAGTTGTCTGACCAGCCAAGTTTTCCACGATGTTCTGCAAGAGAAAGAGAGGGAGATTTGTGTCAAGATGCGGAGAAAGCAGGCGCTCCTCAATTTTTGGGTATGTAGAGTGATGGGTATTATCTTAAAGCTTGTTCATTCATTTATCTTTCAATGAAAAAATTACCCATTTATCTAATATAGAAGTCGAGATCATTGCAATTGAAGGCGGAAGGGTCGCCTGGTTTCAGAGATAAAATTAGCAAGAAAATGGAAAATGGTTGCCAAAGTTTGGTGACGTACATAGTTTGAGAATCCTTGGAAACTGAAAATGTACCTTTTGTGCCTTATATCAAAGTTTTTTCAATAGGATTCATACAGAATTGTGTTCTTAAATGGACAAACCAAGAAGGTTATATAAGTGCCAAAGATTAGAGGTGTTACAAGAGAGTAACAAACACAACAAAGAAGGAGAGATGAAAAGGACAATACATGTTTGATGGGAAAAAAGGGGCAAACCACAAACCACACCATAGCCCTCACCAACACCCCCCCCCCCCCCCCCCCCACAGACAAACAGGGAATAATATAACACGACAACAGAAGAGAGCTGACAGGTTTACAAAACCCCTCACAAGACCCTGGCTACCCTTACCTTGGCAGACGGATGAGATCCACCAATGAGGCTATGGATTGGGTCCACTCCGTTGATGGCTTTGCCAGCTCCCGGAGATGGGGGTTCCGACTGGCCTTGACCTTGGTACCGGTGACGACACTCCAGACAGTTGCGTACGGCAGATGTGCACACTGGGAAAACACAATGTTGTTTTTATTCTATGTAAGCGCCTTTTACGCCCTGATCAACACAATTTAGATAATTTAGGAGGTGGGCTTCTGACCCTGCCAGTCAGGATCAACCCAAGCTGGAAGAGATACAACATCCACACAGGAAGACCCAGATACTATGATAACAAATATCTTCCCATTCAGGAATCAAACTCAGGTCTCCTGCATGCAACAGTAAAGCACCAAACACTACACCACAAACATATGTAGGGTCAGTTCTTTTTCAAAACTGATGCTGAACACGTTCATTTGTATCCAAGGACAGCAGAGTCTGGGTGCTCATTTCTTCCAGCATTCTAAAGCAACTTATTACTCTTCACACATCATTTTCTGTTCTTGTTTAGCAGATATTCATTACACAAGGCCTATCACTGGTTTCCTTCTAAAACTTACAGAGAGTCAGAACCAGAACATGCCAAGCCTCAGACACCATCTCAGGATGCTAATTTTCTCTGGCATTTAAAAGTGACTTATGACACTTTATACATCATTTTGGGGATTCTTTTGGCAGATTCTCATCACCGTTTTATGTATAGAACTTACAGAGAGTTGGAACTTACCAAGCCTCAAACACTGCCTCCCGATCCTCATTTTCTTCAGCATTGAAAAAGTGACTTATAACACTTTGTCATCATTTTGGTGCTTCTTTACCAGATTTGTATCACTGCTTTCCCTCTGGAACTTATAGAGAGAGCCAGTACTCACCAAGCCTTAGACACTGTCTCAGGATGCCCCCAGAAGGCATATTCTTCTCGTTCTCCAGCTCAGCAAAGTTGGTGGAGCTGGCAAAGACGAGGATGTCAGTCATGTACATGATTCTCTGAAGGATCATCACCGCCTGCTCAATGCTCAGCCCTTGGTTGGGCTCCAGGATCTCAATCTCACCCTGAGCAAAAGGAATAAAATTAATAGAGAGACCCAAAGAAAATATTTTTAATGTACAAAATTAAAAGATTTGCTCTCCATTGTTGATTCCAACAGGATTCTTAATTTTATAAAGGCAACTGACATTAACTCTGAAATGTAGAAAACTGTTGTTTTAAAATGAAAATTGCTGTTTTAATTTTAAAAATCTTTCTAAAACTGTTTTATTACCATGAGTTGTTTAGCCTTCCCATAAAGTAAAACCAAACCACGCTGTGAACTGCTGTAAATGCAACCAACTTTTGTTCAGCGCGCTCATATGACCTTACGTAGTTGCGAGCAACGTAAAACTCTTACTAAAGAAACAGTCCTATTTCAAAGCATCACGTCACAGCTCCATCCCACCTTGAAAACACCTGTGCATCACGAAAGGGTTTAGCAGAAGCTAGTTCTACGATGCTGTGTGAGTAACCACATTATCCGCACAGCCTTCATTCAAAAAGAAATATCCTTTACCAGTTGACTGGTGTAAAGCATTACAAAATTACATTACAAAATGTAAAAAGAAACACAAAGCAGGGTAACCCTTCATTCAAGTACCCATTTCTACCCGTGGGCTCAAGAGCAATAAGGTTAAACTTACTAGCTTGAAGGAATATATTGGCTTTGAAAGGTAAACCTTGCTAACTTGAAGCAGTATCTTGGCTTTCACCAGCCTCACATATAACTTCAAAGCTGAAGCTGTACCAAAAAAAAACCCATAACTCTATTGGCCTTGACCTCGAGCCCACCCACACTTCTACAGATTGGATTTTTTGTCAAAATTTATGCGAGCCCAACAGCATAACCACTAGACTACCCATGCCAGAATTCAAGACTCACGTTTTGGGAGGTGGCTGCGGCAAGCAGAGGAAGTAGTCCCCCACAGGAAGTGATGAGGTTGTCGGCCAGCTGAGAGATCATGTGGGTCACGTTGACCACGTAGATGTGGTTTTCTCCGGAATTCACAAAGTCAATCACGCTCTTGGTGCTGTGGCTGCAGAGAACAAAGGAAGATTTTTAGTACATTGAAGCCCCCCTCCCCCCAAAAATTAAAATCTTTAAATCACACAGGCTACTTACTTCAATAACCAATCTTTTCCCAAAAATTTCAGTATATATTCTTTGCTGAATTACCAAGATAGATTTCTAAATAATTAATCCCTTCATAACATAGGTTTTTAAAAAACTTTTACTGCATCAAATTTTTGCTTGCCAGAACTGAGCAATTTTAATCATTTTGAAGTCCCTTTGAAAAAGAAAGATTGAAATGATTTAGAAAACAGATTTTCTTTATAGCAGATTTCAAATCTTTCTTAAGTTTTCCAGGAAAATTCCATTCCTATTGTAGAACAAGTATAAAATTCTGCATGGTGTATTTTAGAATGTGCATGTTAGAGGAGGATAGCATCTTGGCTCATTATGTTCCATGAACAATGTACAGCAGCTGCCTCAAAGGGGATAAAACTTGACTGCTGCTGGAAGAAAACAGTAGCTGCTTTTTAAAATGCTAGAACATAAATTAAGACTTTTGCGACTCAAACTACCATTCTTTCAATATATAGATAGACTTTACGACTTTTTGTGCAACTTAAAAAAAATTTAGTTAAAACTATTTGTGCTGTTTTTATGGAGACTTAAGAATTTACCATCAATATGAGACTGTAATTAACTCTACAAATACAAATACTTTATTTTTTAAAAAGTTTCCCATCTACAAGTTGCAAACAAGACTTTCTCACAAGATTTACCTCTTCCACACTTGAATATCAGTTTCCACAGCAAACAATAAGTCAGAAAGGAGCTTCTGGTGAAGGAAAGACCAACGGAACTCTGGAATGCGGAATGCTGGGGCCCGGGGGCCTGGACTGAAAATGTGACCCCCTCCTCTGCTGGCGTTGGATGGATGGCGTTGTAGTGAGGGCCCATCTTGGGCGGACGGGCCCGGAGGCTGGGACACAGACTTAGGCCTGGTGCCCCCGACTGGTTCACCTGGATTGGCATTTGGTCTGGGCCTGGAATTTTACAACAGGATACCATACATAACTGATGATACATCAGCAGTACAAGAAAAACATTGTTGGGGGAGGAAGACATTCAGTCATATCAGACAAATATTTTCCATACATAATTGATGTCTTGAGTTGATGAACGAATCTTATTTTAAAAATTTCTGGCGAAGGAAGACATTCACTTCAGTAGTATGAGACATATATTTTCCATACATAATTGATGTCCTGAGTTGATGAAGAAATCCCATTAAAAAATTGCTGGTGAAGGAAGACATTCAGTAGTATCAGAAAAATATTTTCAGACCCTCAAAAACGTGACTTATTCAAAAGGCTTGCTCTACTTTAAAACAAATAGCCGAGTTTAGGCTAAGATTTCAGTCATTCGAATCAATATAATCTCTAACACTTATCCCTTTGCGATTTATTGTCAATGGTACATCAAGAAAGGGAGAAACTTTCTTTTCATCTGTCCGGCTCCACAAAAACCTTTCGAGCAGACATATCTTATTTGCTATCTTTATGAGGATGTGCAAAAGTAAATACAAGGGATCGTAACTTTCAAACTCGAAAATGACATTTCCATATTTCTTTTAAATACTAAATCTGTATCACAATGTTTCCACCATGTATTCCAACTCATAATTCGTCCATCAATGTTTAACAATGGCCAATGCATCTGCAGAGGAGAATATTTCAAGAGCTAAATACCAGAAGTAAGGAAAAAGATGACTTGTGGCTTCTGCTATGATGGCCAATGAGACCAATTATGGCAGAGAAGAGTATCTAAACATATAAAATACACATCTGGAGTCCTTTGATGGCATGACTACAGATTAGGAAATGGAACTGAAAGAAGAACATTATAGAGAAATAGACTTTTTCATTGCAGTAAGATCTTGAACAAGGGACCTTTTGAATGACAGACAAACACCATACCTCTAGACCATAAGAGCCCCAATTGTAAATCAAAACAATGGGTGAAAAATCAGTGTCAAACATGTCGCTACCTCAAAATTACAAAGTTCTATCTGATATTTTGGGCCATTTTGAGTTACTAAGCCCATAAGGTCAGAAACCTAAATGTTCTATTTGCTCTGTAAAAATCGTAAGATTATAATTATTCAGAGTCGCTATCAAGTTATTCAAAGAATTGCATTCGAAAAAGCTCGACATGTGAAAATTAAATTTTTTAAATATCAAATTTCTCAAAACTAGGTGCTGAGCAGATAGAACTTTGTTCTAATTCTAGGGTAGCGATGTATCTGGGGCTCACAAGCCTGCAAGTAGGATTCCTTACCTGTCTGATGCAGTCTGTCCCTGATCTGAACTGCTCTCTAGTGCACTCGCATCCTCTCCTTCGCTCTTCTGTTCAGGCTCCGCCCCACTAGCACCCTCCGACTCCTCCCCTCCTGTGGCTTGCTCCGTCCCCTCGCTGCTCTCCTCTGTCTCAACGGTCTCATCCTCCTCTTCCTTTTTCTCCTGCTCATCCTCCTCCTCCTCTTCCTCCTTCTCGTCCTCTTCTTTCGTCTCACTCTTCTCCTCAGCAGCATCCTGTTTCTCCTCAATTTCTCCATCCTTCTTCTCATCTGAAAGGCTTTCTTCTTCTTTCTGTGCCTCTTGCTCTTCCTGTTTTCCTACTTCCGCCTCTTCATCTGTCTTCTCCTGTGAGGTAGCACTCTCCTCCTCAGCCTCGGCCTTCGCTTCCTTGACCTCCTCCTCCTTCTCTTCCTCCTTCTCCTTCCCCTCGGCAGCTTGGATCGCCTCGGCTTCAGTATCGGAAACCTCTGAGATCTTCACACTCGACTTGCGTGGGGAGGGAGCGGCGGCCGCCTGCTGCTGGCTCCCTATGCCGGAGATGGTGGAGATGGGCCTCTGCTGCTGCTCCTCGGGGTCTGACAAGTTGTCCGCTCGGTGCTGCTCAAACTGCTGGTACATCTTGGACATGTGAATCTTGAAGTCCTCATAGGCAACCTGCCACATACAAACCAGAACTTTATTATCACACAATCTTTGAGACAAGAGGAGAAAAACTAAAGTCAAACTAACTTGGTCTTGGTTATTCAAAAAAATTTGCCTCACAACAGATGCCGAGAGATCTGTGACCTGCTTTTTACACATATTCATCACAGTAAATACATCACTTTACTCAAGTCGTAACAGCTACTGATGAAATTAAAATGTCTAAATTACATCTCTAGACAACAACAATGACAAAAAAGGATCAGGGACCAGTACTGTTGTATCAAGTTTTTCCCCATATTAGGAAGCAAAGCAACAACAAAAAAACCTTTACTTTAGCACATTGATTGTAAGTGAAGGAGTTTGAAGAAATGAGCAAAAAAATACTATGAACTAATCACAGCTAACAAACAAAAAATCTCCCCGAAACCACATATACTGTAAGGAGGAGAGATAAGGACAATAGGAAAGAAGGAGCCAGAGCACCCACCAAACACACCCATTTATTACTTTTGACAAGAGGGAGAAGAGAAAAGGATGATGATGATGATGTTTGATAAGAGAGAAGAAGTACACCACATCACAGCATCCGCCAACCACCCACAATATTATGATCGAAAAAAGACGAATAACCTTGGAATGCAGAATAGCCAGAGTGTCTATCCACACTCTCCAGCCTCCAAACTCAAACTTGATGGCGTGGTGCAGCAGCATCTTGAAGAGGGCCATCACCATGTCCGTGATGCGTTGCTGCTCCGAGTTGCGAGGGTAGATGTAGGCCAGGGAGAACAGCCAATCTTGCCACACAGACATCTGGAGGACAGTTCTGGAAGATGGCACACAATAGTGGGTTATGAGTGATGGGTGGTGATGATGAGAGAAGAAAGAGATTATAATCATAAATGATGGGTGATGGTGACAGAAGAGATTATAATCCTCAATTATGATGGGTATTGGTGACAGAAGAAAGAGATTATAATCCTAAATGATAAGTGATAGTGACAGAAGAATGAGATTATAATCATAAATGATGGGTGAGGGAGACAGAAGAAAGAGGTTATTTATGATGGGTGATCATGACAGAAGAAAGAGACTATAATCATAAAAGATTGGGGATAGTGACAGAAGAATGAGATTACAAACATAAATGATGGGTGATGGAGACAGACGAAATAAATCATAAATGATGAGTGATACCGACAGAATAAAGAGATAAGAAATGATGGGTAAAGGTGACAAAAAAACGAGAATACGATCATAAATGATGGGATATGGCGACATGATGGGTAATGACAAAAGAAAAAACAAGTTATAAATGATGGGTGCGATGGCGAGAGAAGAAATAGATTACAAATGAGGCGTGATGGAGACAGAAGAGACTATAAAAGAGCAAAGCAACATACCTTCGGTTATCTTTATTGTTATTGCACAGAATGGTCAAATCGGAGAGGAAGATCTTCTTCACTTCAAGCACCTCAGCAGTGGGTTTGGACTGGCATATCATTGTGGCAACCACTTTCAGAATAGCTGCAGGGGAAAAAAGGAAATTAGACTAAATGCAACAACACTTATTTGATTAAAACAATTTTTGTTTCTTATAGTTTCAGGGTACAATAGGTACTATAGATTATGTGTTTCCTTTTTTTTTTTTGTTGAAGACTTTAGATATTAATGTGAAGACACGCACTTCCCTCAGTCGGGTACCTCTACCAGGACATTCACGCATATATCACAGAGAAATGTTAAAATTTTACAAATTCAGCAGTCAAGTGACAGGGAAAGAGTTTTCACAGACCCAAGAAAACAGACAGATAGGTTCACTGCCGACAAAGGCAGGAACACTATAGCAGCATTAAAAAAACCAAAAACCTTTCATCTGACTAAAGACAGTCAAAAACAAAAGTTCACATTGCTGACATCAAAGAGGCATATTGTTATTCATAGAGTGACTGATGACAGACGAAGCGTTAAGAAGAATTAAAAGTTAGTTTTAGTAGAGGTTTTACGGCACTCGCAACTGCATAAGGTCATATGAGCGCCAAGGGGTGGATGTCAACAGAGAAGTCCTTACAGGGAATCAGACTTACTCTACTCACCACTCTAGCTTCAACAGCACAAAGTCAGCTTCGACTATCAAGGCGCCCCGGAAATATCGGGTCACCAGAGTGTGACAATCATACAAAAGAAGTAGAGGAAAATGACGATGGTAAGGATTAGGAAAGAAAAAGCAGCAGTTCCCTGTTGTTGTTCAAGCAGTTATGAGCATGCCATTGTAGGATCAGACCATTTACAATTCTACTGTGCATTAGGACGAGAAATGCCCCCCCTTTGGGAATGGCCTAAAGACCCTTCAATCAGTGGCACCGCCCCGGGGGTGGAAGAATTAAACGTAAGCAAACCAAAGAGTAAAACTGCTATCAATGAATGAAGACAGTTGACACATATAGAAGAATAAAACAATAAGCAAAACAGAGAAAAACTGATAACAACAAAGTACTCACAAAAAAAGAAGCCTTCAACAGTACTAACCTGAGTTTTCAATGCGGAATGTGGACTCTGGTTCTGCTGATCTGACTTTGATGTTGTCCAGACCCATGCGCTCTGTGAGGATCTGTGAACAACAACCATATGTGTCACGACGTGGTGGAATCAGGCGCTCGTCATTATATGTGCATGTGGAATAATTAGTATCATCTTCAAACTTGTTCAATTGTCTTGCTATCGGTGAAAAAAAATGTTCATCTATCTTGACTAGAAGTCAAGATATTTGAGATTGAGGAAGGTGAGGTCGCCTGGTTTCAAAAGTAGAATTAGACAGAAAATGCATGTGGAGTAACTAGTATCATCATAAAACTTGTTCAGTTGTCTTGCTATCAGTGAAAAAAAATGTTCATCTATCTTGACTAGAAGTCAAGATATTTGAGATTGAGGAAGGTGAGGTCGCCTGGTTTCAAAAGTAGAATTAGACAGAAAATGCATGTGGAGTAACTAGTAACATCATAAAACTTGTTCAGTTGTCTTGCTATCGGTGAAAAAAATGCCCACCTATCTTGAATAGAAGTCAAGATATTTGAGATTGAAGAAGGTGAGGTCGCCTGCTTTCAAAGGTAGAATTAGCGAGAAAATGGCTGCCACAGTTTGGTCACTTCCATAGTTCGATAGTCCGTGGAAACTGAAAACTTACATTTTTTGTGCCTTTTATTAACATTTTTCAGTAAAACTCACCCAGAAATGTGGTCTTAATTGAACAACAATCTATTCTCTTCAACAATGGGAAGCCATTTTAGATACTTTTGACTGTTCTGTCTTTTACCTCAAACAAGGCATTGTAGGTGGCCATGGAGATGTTCTGAGTGTGAAGCATCAACCGCTCTGCCAGAAGGTTGAACAAGTTGTGTGGTGACATGGCATCCTGTTTCCTCCTGTAAAACACATAAAAGAAAATAATAACAATGATAAATAGCACTTCTATAGTGCAAATTCCCTCTTAACTGCAAGCTCTACAGGCGTTTTACAGTTTATATTATTACCCCAGCAGACCTGATAGCATTTTGAACTCAACTTCCTGGGAAGATACAGTGCAAGCAACCAATTTACAGGTGCTAAAACGCCAATATATGGACAAGATCTTTTACTGTCTATGGCCTGGTACCCATTCACATCTGGGTGAAGTGAAGTAAATAAAAAGTGGCAATTTAGATGTCTATTTCTTTTCATGGCCATGATGTTGCATGAAGAGTGAAAAACATATCCTTTAAAAATCCAACATCACAATTTCTTAACTAAAGATAGATGAAGCACTTAGAAGAATAAAAAGTAAACCTATTCACAAAATATAAGATACCTGGTTTATGGTTCGAGGACTTTTATAACTTGGTTATTGTATGAAATTTGTGTTTGAAATTTGATTGTATGATTTTATCATACCCATGCATTCAATTTTTCTTTCAGCATGTCTATCTTTAGCAATACAGAACCTAATCAGTTCTAGGAGACAAGTGATCTTCAGTTTCCCTGTATTGCTCTGCATATTTGTAGACTTGAAAATTCCCTGAACAAACTTTTGCAAAAAACTGTCTAAGCATGAGAAACTGTACCTGTAAGTACTTCTCATCAGGAAAAATCCCAGCAACCGCAGAGAGAGCAACCTTATGTCTTCGCTCTGAGAAGCCAACAGCTTGAAGATTGTTCTGCGTAAAGGGAAACAGTCCAATATCATAATCGTATTAAATAAGAATAATAGTAATAATAGCAATAATAATAATAATAATAATAAAATAATAATACTAATAATATTAATAATAATAATAATAATAAATGCTCATCTGTTAAGTAAACTCTTAAGTATAAGTAAAACCGAAGAAACAGAGGGGAAAAAGCACCCTCAAACCACCCATACAAATACAAGTCAAAGAGAGGATACAGGGGTAAAAGCACCCTCAAACCACCCATACAAATACAAGTCAAAGAGAGGATACAGAGGGGTAAAAGCACCCTCAAACCACCCCTGCAAATATAAGTCAAAGAGAGGAAACAGAGGGGGAAAATAGCACCCTCACTTTAGTTTCGTTAAGAGTTTTACGGCACTTGCAACACAGTAAGGTCAAATAAGTGCCGAAGATTAGAGGTGTTACAAGAGAGTAACAAACACAAAAAAAGGAGGGGAGCACAGGATGATAGATGTTTGATAGGAAAGAAAGAGCAAACCACACCAGAGCACCCGCCAACCACCCACAAGCACCCTCAGAACACCCCTACAAGTATAAGTAAAAGAGAGGAAACAGAGGGGGAAAAAAACCCCCCTGCAAAAATGGCAATTACCTCACACCGTTCTTTTGATCAAAGGCAGGCACCATGGAGGCCGGGTGCTCGGCCATGAGGTGAACCAGCAGCTCCAGCACATCCATCAGATTGTCGTCCTGAGAGAGAAGGAGAGAGAGAGAGAGAGAGAGAGTGAGTGTGAGAGAGAGAGTGAGTGTGTGAGAGATAGAGAGAGAGAGAGAGAGAGAGAGAGAGAGAGAGAGAGAGAGAGAGAGAGAAACAGAGAGAGAGAGAGAGAGAATGTTATATAGTTTTAGTAAGTATTTTATGGCACTTGCAACACAATACGGTCATACAAGTGCTGAAGATTAGATGTGTTACAAGAGAGTAACAAACACAAAAAAAGAGAGTAACAAACACAAAAAAAGAAGGAGGGGCGATAAAGACGATAGATGTTTGATAGGAAAGAAGAAGCAAACCACACCAGAGCACCCGCCAACCACCCACAGAGAGAGAGAGTGAGACAGCCACACAGATGATAAGATAAGATAGATAAGTTAATACTTTATTATCCCAGAGGGAAATTTTCCTTCACTGTACAGGACCGGAAAAACACATGCAAGTTGAGGTATACATAGAAATTTTAATCATATATTACTCTCATTAAAATTGAATATGAAAAGAGAAGTAAATCTGACAAAATGTACATATCACATCAGATACATGGAGCAGTAATATAAGATAAGTTAAACTAAGATAATAACAATAATAATATAGCTTTGTACCCATTCCCACCTGGGTGAAGGGAGGAAAATTTGCAGAGTTCCTTTCCCAAGGACACAACATTGGGTCCCTAACGGGACTCGAACCCATGACCTTACGGCTGCGAGTCTGAGAGCCTAACCGAACCAAACAAAACCAAACCGAACAGAATCGAATCTGCCAATGGGCACCACTTATAACATTAGAGAGTAGAAGAAGAGCATACCTCATGCAGTGTCGTCAGATAGTTGAGCATGGATTGCAGCTCATCCTCATGAATGCCGTGTCCCTTGATGATGAGTTCTTTCACATACAGCAGCATGAAGGAACGAAGCTTGACGATCTCATCCTGGGTAGGCCGAGGGCCATCTAAGAAAAGATCAAGTTTGAGGTTTGAGTAAAGTTAAGTTTTAGTTTCAGTAAGAGTTTTACAGCACTTGCAACAAACTAAAGTCATATAAGTGCCGAAGATTAGAGGTGTTACAAGGGAGTAACAAACACAAAAAAGGAGGGGAGATAAAGACGATAGATGTATTATAGGAAATAAGAAGCAAACCACACCAGAGCACCCGCCAACCACTCTCTTTGAGTAAAGAGAAGCACATCGAAACAATAATGGTCACTAATTTTTTTTTAAGTAAGACAGAAATAACAGAGGGAAAGTAACGAAGGAGGACCGACCATTGGCATCCTCCAACCACCTGCTAAGATGAGATTAAGTAAGATAAATCTCTATAGTCCAGACGCTGTGTGGCACAATGATGTGTGTTTCAACACACACATGCACGCGCGCGCACAACACACACACACACACACACACACACACACACACACACACACACACACACACACACACACACACACACACATGAAGCACACCCTCGCACCCGAGCTTGCACATCCAACAACAGACACAAGGAGGAGGAAAGGGAAAAACGAGGAAGAAGGAGGAAAAGTAAGGAGCAGGGGGGAGCAAAGGAGGAGGAAACGGAGAAGTAAGGAGGAGGAGGGAGTGAGGGAGAGAGGAATAGGAGGAACAGCAAAGGGAGAAATAAAGAGGAGGGAGGAAAAAAGAGAATGGAAAAGGAAGAGGAGTAGGAGAAAGAAGAAGATAGAGCACCCCCTGCAAAAAAAAAAAAATTTTAAAACCCCGAAGAAACAAAACAAAAAAAAAAACAAAAAATACCAGTTAGGGAGCACTTACCCAGAGCTTTGGGCTGGACACCGCTGCGGTCCAGAGGGCTGACCACCCAGTAGTAGTACTTGAGCGAGTGCATGGTCTGCAGCACAGCGCTAATGCGCCGGATGTTGTTGTAGATGCGCGCGTTGCTGATGAACTCGGTGGCCAGGTAACAGTACAGCTTGGTCTGCACCTGAACAAAACACAACAATTTTTCATTATGGTAAATGGTGAAATGGTGTGTGTTCAACACCCGTATCAACACTATTACGTTATTTAACCCTATCTGTCTGTTGTGTTTTACTATCATATCCATACGACTTGGGGAACTCTGTGCCACCCCTTTCCCTTTCCAAAGAGGAAATTTACTCGTTAATCCAATCTGTACACTTTGCATAGTAGACTGTCAAAATGATTTTTCGAGAAATACTGAAAGTTTCAAAGAGATCTTTGCACTAGAAGTATTCTAAAATGTGAAGAATGCAATCCCGGGGGTACAAAATGACACCAAAGCGTACGGATAGGGTTATGAGGTGGGACTTCAGAGTTAAACGTCCACCTCAAAAAGGGCAAAGCCAATTAAAGGGGAATTCGTGTAAAATGCCTTTCCCAAGGACACAACGTCAGACCAAGCTGAGGCTCTAACCCCCAAGCCCGCAATTTCACGATTACAAGTACAGCAGCCTAACCACAAGGCTACCGACATAACTAATTTAAACAGCATTTATATATCCTTTTGTATTGTTAGACGTCAAGAGGAGGTGCGATTTTCCGTCAAAGGTTAGCTGGGTGGCTTCTGTTGTTGACACGATATTCTATTGGAGGACCTCTTTAACGCCACCCAGCCAAGCTTTGCTTGGTCTGTCCCTGCCCTTGTATACTGACTCTTTTGAGTAGTAAACTCGTGCAGCTGGTTGATTTGGTGACATTCTCGTCGGATGACTGAACCACTTGATTCATTAATGTTCTGTGTCTTTCATAACCGGTTTTATCTTCCTGTTAAATCTTTTTGACAGTTTCGTTCCTTATGCAGTCTTTCTTACTAACATTTATCAATTTTCTGGGGCATTCCATCTCACAGCACTACATGAAAAAAATGCGGTCGGAACGAGAAAGAATCATCGAATGTTTCTTCAATGAACAAAAAAAAACTCTAGGACTATTGGTTAAACAGTAAGCTTTTCGTAAAATCTTCAGTAGTACCATTTAGCTTATTCCAGGGAAGCCAAGAATATTTTTGAGTGTTCTACAGTCTGCCGTGGTAAAAATCATTAACCATTATTAAATCATTACTACTAAATAAATTGTGATAATAATTGTACGTAAATGCAAGACTTCCTGAAACAGAACTGAGGAGCCCGTGTACTAACCTCCACCGACGTGTGCACCCAGAGCTGAGGGTTGAAGAGCACGTAGTCAAACAGGTGCTTGAGCAGCAAGCCGCCCGAGGGCAGCTCCACCAGGAACTCTGTCAGCTTGAGGAAGGCCTCCAGGACTGCTGGCGTGATGTGGTCTCGTGACGACTGGCAGGAGACAGGACAGAAACGAGATTGAGGGGGGGAGGAGGTGGGGTTTTCTCATTGTTACAAATATATTGCCTCTTAATACTTTACATTTACACAGCCAGCAGTACAAAATACCCCATCTGGTCACTCAGCCAGGAGAGTGACTGCAACGGATTTCTCAGGCCTGGCGCGCCGACCCAAACGGATAATCTTCACCGTCGAATTATTGCACCATGACCGCAAAGTGTTAAACCTCTCCATGTCTCAGTAAGAAACATTTTACTTGTTTCAATTTTCTTTCAGTAAGAGTGTAACAGCCTTTGCAACACAATAAGGTCATATAAGTGCCGAAGATTACAGGTGATACAAGAGAGTAACAAACACAAAAATAGAAGAAGGAGAGATAACAACAACAGATGTTAAGTTTTAGTCAGAATTTTACAGCACTTGCGACACAATAAGGTCATGAGAGTAACAAACACGAAAAAAGGAGGAGAGATAACGACAAAGATTTTCCAAATCCTAATTTTAAAAGAATCTAGAAAATGTTCCGTCTAGGTATATAATTTGTCCAATTTTCCATCTTGCCAGTCACATACCTTTTCCAACAAGAAGCTGATGACCAGGAAGCCTTTGTTCTGCACCATCTGCTGCTGGATAGCCGGAGAACACTCAATCAAGTCTCCCAGAAGGCCAATCAAGTTCGCACTGTTGGAAAAAAAAATGACAACTTAAAACACATATTATAGAAATACTGTTCATCAAAGCTGATGTCAGCGCATCTCGCTTGTATTAAAAATTTTTGAGTGAGGGAGAGGCAGACCTCAAGGGGAACAGATAGCCCGAAATATCTCCAACCAAACTCCAAGTGGCACTGTAAGCAGATAAACTTTGAGGTGGATCCTGTGCATGGACATGTACCATTTTTTTTTTTTTTAATTTAGTAAGAGGTTTACAGCACTTGCAACACAGTAAGGTCAAATAATTGCCGAAGATTAGAGGTGTTACAAGCTAGTAACTAACATAAAAAAGAAAGAAGAGAGATAAGGGATAATAGAGGTTTGATAGGAAAGAAGGAGCAAACCACATCAGAAGACCCACCCACCATGTACCATCTGCAATAATTCAAACCTTGTAGACAAATAGACTTGTATTTATAAATCTTATTTCATGAACTTGTCACTTCAAGACCTGAAAGCAAACTAGAAAACAAAAGAAATGTTACAGAAACTTGGCTCCCTCTTACCTCGTAAAAAGCACTTCATACACTTAACAAACATAAGCTACAACAATTACCAATAAACCTATAGAACACATGAACAAAGTTCCCCAAAGTTCCCCCCCCCCTTTTTTTTTTTGGTAGAGTTTTACAACACTTGCAGCTGCATAAGTTGCAATATGAGCACATATCCCTTTTTTGGGGTAATAGTTTTACAGCACTCGCAACTGCATAAGTTCAAATGGGCCCGCATTCTTCTTTTTTGGGGGGATACAAGTTTTACAGCACTCGCAGTAGCATTAGTTCATTTGAGCACGCATCCCTGAAGAGTGACAATAAACAGTTACCAAGTGGAGTAGTCCACTGCCATGGTTTTGTCAGGGCCGAGATCGACAGTCAGATCCAGCTGACCAAACAAGGGGAAGAGAATCTGAATGCCTCCCAGGGAATGTAGGGTACTGTGTATGGAGTGGGTGATGACAGCTTTCACATCCTGCAGAAAAAAAAAAAATCAAAATTAAACGATACTACATGCATATTTAAAAAACCCACAAAAATACCAGCTTTTTAACTCTTTCAGTGCATAAGGGATTTCACAATTTTACGCACCTTGGCGTGAAGAGAGTTATCTTAAAACAGTTATAATTCCATCAAGTATCGATGCATTTGTTGTGTGAGCACTCAAAACTCAGCCCTCTTCATCCCCCCCCCCCCCCCCCCCACACAAAAATCCCTTTTTCGTCTTCTTCCTCCTATAATTTCAATTCCATCCCCGCCTCCACAGGACATTTCCTCCTCCTCCTCCAGTCATTCCCTCTCCTTTCACACCTCCTCATCTCCCTTCTTCCTTTGCTCTTCATCTCCCGTCCTCCTTCTTATTCCTCATCTCCTTTCCTCCTCCTATCTCCTTTGCTCCTCATCTCTCTTCCTCCTCTTTTGACACCTCCTTATTTCCCAGCCTCCTCCTTGACACCTCCTCATCACCCTCCCCCTCCTTTGCTCCTCATCCCTTTACCTGACACATCATGGCGTGTGGTGAGTGCAGGAAGTAGGAAGGGTTTCCCTTGGGTGAGGACTCCAAACAGAGCTGGCTGTCACACGCTATGGGGTTGTACATGAACATGATAGTGCTCGTCAACTTGCCATCGTACAGTACCTGAAAGGGAAAAACGTACATTATGACTTCAGTAGTCATTTTTTTGTTACTTGAGTTTATTAACCCCACACTAGACGCATGCACATAGGTCATTTTGAAGATTGAGCACTCAAATTCTTGTAGTGATACAGAGGAAAAAAGGAAAGAAAGCTAATCAACACCAGTTGTTCGTTTGTTTGTTTGTTTGTTTGAGTAAAGAGAAGCACATTGACACAATAATGGTCATTAGGAGCTGGGAAAATGTAAAATAAGCAGACAGAGAAAACAGAGGGGAAAGTAAAGAAGTAGAATCTACCAGCGGCACCTTCCAACCACCCCCAAGCAGAGATGGTTTGCAAAAGAAGATATCATACTCAAACATCTCAGCACATCTAATCCAATATGTTCCGTCTAATGACAAAAGGGTTGTATCTTCTGCTGGAGACCAGCGGGCCTGCTGGTGCATTTATTAAAGACTCCTATCCTGCCCCATGTATTTATTAAAGACTCCTATCCTTCTTTTGTTTTTTTAGTTTGGTAAGAGTTTTACAGCATTGCCAACTAAATAAGGTCAAAATAGCACGCAGCTATCATCATTCTGTGCCTGTACGAAGACATATCGCAATTTCATGATTAAACGGTATTGATGGGAGCTACACCTTAAACACCTTAAAAGAAGAGGAAAATGTTACAATTATATGGACCAGCAATAATCAACTTGTCCCAGACCTCTTCAACCCAAATTAGTTGAGTCTTGAGCTGAGTTTTCATATATATTTCTTTTTTCCCCAGAACTAAAGACCATGATTGTAACAATTTTTAAAATATTGGGCATTTTCAACTGCATCCCATTTCTCAGTATCAAGCGGGGGGGAAAAATTTGGAAAAGAAAATGGAAGACTTTTCCTCACATACGTGTATCAAACTATATATTCCTGCCAGACTGCTATCTAACTTTCTTAGGCAACAAATCAAGTTGTCTTCAATTTAAAGACTGGACAATTATGGGAAGTGGCCGGTGGGTCTTCCTCCTTTCCTACACATCCTCTTTTTGTCTGTCTGCCATCACTCTATTTCCAAGCACAAAATAATATTATCACATGCCTCTCTAATTCACTAACTCAAATTCAAACAATTTAAGGCAGCTAAGGTGAACATATGGTGCACAAATGAAACCTTTAAAACTGACAGCGTCGTTGTGCTTGAGCAGAGTACAAATGACAAAGGTGATAATATCAGAAGAAGGATTAAATACAAAGCATGTTAGATAATAGAGAACACAAATGAATTTTGAACAGAAGAGCTGCAAGATTATTCACTATCAATTTTCCGGTTGAAGGCCTAGAACTCAGACGGCCGGTGGATCTGAAAAGTAATGATTAATTTCGCTTTTTCCGTGAAATAACAAGAAGGGATCATAATTACTAAAAGTAACCCCACTTTTCTCGGCACAAACAGCCCCCACCTTCTCCCTGACCTTTGTCTACACATAAGTCTCGGGTCTATGTGACATCTCAGATACATTTTCACTGAGCAACCTTTCATCAGAGGTGCCAAATGGCTATGAAAAAAACCTGGAACTTTTCGAACAGCATGTAAACATGCACAGGGAGACTCAAAATCTATGGATCATGTTAATTATTGCATCTTGTGTCAAGACATTTTTTCATATCGATTGCAATATGTCATGAACAAAGAAATTACAAAGAAAATAAATGAATAAGCAGGAGAATGTGATATTACAAACTCCAGACAATTTCAGAAATCTGTATTTCCTGATTTTCAGTGAAAAATCAGCACCTCTGTATTATAACTGAATCATGCTAACATCATGAAAGATAGATGACAACGTAACAATATTTGATTTTTGTAAATCACAGACTTTCTTAAAATCCTACTGGAAACAAAACAAACAATAATGGCTTGTTTCAAAGTTCATCTCGCATCCAAGCAAACCAGAGCAGTTGTGGAATTAGTGAAGCAACACTGGACTCCCAAAGCAACACACAATAACCAATAGGGTTATCCAATATAAGATACATTCAATGTGTGTTAGTCTACGCTATAAGTTTTAAAAAGCCATTAGAATTTTTAAGCAATAACCCTCTTCACCTGGAGAAGAAAATAAATGATCAAATTTAGGAGACCAATTAACACACATCAAGACAATGGCCAGAAGATTGATATAAAACATTGAAAGGTAACCATGAGTCAAGGATTCTTGGGTAACATTTATACACAGGTACCTTGCATCATAGTCATAACAACTACACCATCGAAAAAAACAACAACTGAAAGTCCCAGCTGCAACATTTTAACTGTCTGAAGTTGGTCCCAATTTGCTTTCTAAATTAAGAGTTATCTACAAAATTACTATAAGACTCAATTATCACAAGGTCAAAACAATAGCTTAAGAAATAGAGAGCTTTCGAAGCAGACAGGTTGACTCCACAAAAAAATATAAGCAGAATCAGCAGAGACTGAAAATTAACACTCATCAAGAATTCAGTTCTGGCGAGAAAAGCTGGTAAAGGATCGGTTAAAAGTCTCAAATAACGTGAAACAGTCTGGAGAGAGAGAGAGAGAGAGAGAGAGAGAGCACTTTCACCAAACAGTAAAGGAAGAATAGCCATGACGTGTAATAAAAAAAACAAAATGTATAGGAGAGGCAGAAGCAGGATATTTTGTTACATTGTGTTTTACAACTAATCAAATCAATACGAGTTTAACCACCAAATTCATACAATAATGCAGTTCATTCCATAACTGCATGAAATAACTCATATCAATGCAAATAGCTTACGAAAATAAGTCAACCAGGAAGCCTCTGATTTACATGGCTCATGATTTACTGGACAAAAGCCTTCTCTTGAATTGCAATACTTTGTCACAATCCATTTTTGTCTGTTTGAGTAATGTTTGTTTTAGTAGAGTATTTATGGCGCTCGCAACTGCATAAGATCATATGAGCGCCAACTGTTTGAGTAAAGAGAAGCACATTGACACAATAATGGTCACTTTAGTGCTGGGAAAAAGTAAGACAGACAGACAGACAGACAGACAAACAGACAGACAGACAGACAAACAGAAATGACAGAGGAAAAGTTCCGAAGTAGTACTTACCAGCGGCACCCTCTATACACCCACTTTACGACAGATAACATAATGAAACAACAAAATACACACAGCACTTAAAGCTAAGGATATATTATAAGGGCTCCATACAACATGGGGAGAAGGGGGTGAACAAAGCATAATTCAAGGTCTAAAAAAAGTACACAGGCACTAGCACGATGAAATCTGTTCTTTATCAAACTATCTTAATTTTCAACAAGTCTCTGAAAATTATCTACATTCTCTTTTAACCGGACTAGATATATATTTGTCTCTTAACATTCAATGCCACATCATTTCCCATGCAGGAGAACATGCCAGTGAACTTTTTAGTGAAGAAAAATCTATTTCAAAAATATAGAAATAAATAATGGAGAGTCAATGGGTAGGAGACATTACCTGAGCAAATCCTATTAGTACCGGAGGTTTGTTTGTTTGCTTGTTCGTCTGTTTGTTTGTTTTAGTAAGTAGAAACACATCTATACAATAACAGTCATCTAGTGCTGGAAAAAGGCCAGACAGACAAACTGAAAGTTAAACTAGGAAAAAACAAAGAACTCTTCAACGATTCCCATAAGCAGCAGTAAAAACACTGAGCATAAAACTCTTTTCCCCTTCAGTGTGACAATATCCAAATACTTCCAAAAGACAAGTTTTTGTTTTAGTAAAAGTTTTACGGCACTTGTAACACAATAAGGTCATTTAAGTGTCGAAGATTAGAGGTGTTACAAGAGAGTAACAAACACAAAAAAAGGAGGAGGAGAGAGAAAGGCGATAGCTTTTGATAGGAAAGAAGGAGCAAACCATACCAGAGCACCCGCCAACTACCCACATAAGACAAGTGTACATTAAACGGATTCTATAGTACAAAGACTCTTCTGGTCGAGAGGAACTGTATCCTGATCTCTGATTAAATTATGTCAACTGCTTTCATTTCAAACTTTCCTCTCCTCCCCCTTCCCCTGTGACACTGCCTGAAAGCAAGGACCCTACAAAGTAGGAAATATGTTCACAAAGGTAAAAATTAGTCGCACTGCAGATTGAGGAACCAGCAGTCCACTACCCCTGCTGAGATTTATTAGGGGAATGCACAGACGAAAGACTGTGGTTCCTTAACTTACTTCAGCAACAGGTAAAAGACAGCCCAGCCCATGAAAAGAACAGAACTCATCTAAGAAGGAAAGTCATAACTTCATCTATTAACCTACATTGTCCAGTATTATCATCGAGCATCAGGAGATATATACCACAGAATACAAACAGTCAACAAATCATTCCCTCTCATGCAAACATTTCTCGGAGAACACAAAAACTGCACTCGTGCGCAAAACATTTTGACATGTTTGTTTTAGTAGGAGTTTTACAGCATTTGCAACAAACTTAGGTCGTATAACTGCTGAAGATTAGAGATGTTACAAGAGAGTAACACACACAAAAAAAGAGGAGGGGAGACAAGGACGATAGATGTTTGATAGCAAAGAAGAAGCAAACCTCACCAGAGCATCCGCCAACTTCCATAGACATTTTGACAAACTTTAAGTCAAACCATGCAAATGCCTGTTGTGACACCACACACGTATATATATACAAACAGCAACACCTCCCACAAAAAGCAAAACACCACCACAAGTAAAGGGGGGAAAAAGTAACCACCCTCATCCCCCCTCAAAAAAAAATAATTTTTTTTTAAATAAAAAAAATAAAGAAGCCTTGGGTGACACCGACAAACAGAACAACATTTTTTAGTTCCCATAATAGGTTGAAAGGAAATAAGGGACTCCTTTGGTACCTACTTTTCCTCAATTGGGAAACTTGGGTATGTGATAAAAGAAATCTACACGATGCTGACACAAGAGGATTAGTAAATTTGTGAGCAGTTACTAGGTGAAAACACTGCCTCCTGCTTTTATTATTACCTGGGTAACATCAAGCATCCATAAACTCCATAAAGTTCTCTCCTCTGTTTCCATCTAAACATTTAGAAGACAAAATGACACGCTGAAGAGCAGCTCCCCAAGCACACAGAGAAACAATAAATGTCTTCATTCAACAAAACTATCATGTTTGAGAAAATTTAGTTCCTTCCATTTTTTAACACAATTGATCTTAATAGGAAGTTGTAGACCATTTTGATTTTGCTGATAAAAACAAGCAAGCACATGCAAAATACACTTTACAATGTTTCCATGAAACCATACAACTGAACAAAAAAATACCAGGCAAATGCCTTTCTAACAATCAACAACCACCAATTTGAACATCAACATCCAAAGGGAAAATTTTCAATAAAAATTAGATACAAAGCAAAACTTCCCCAAAACAAAGGTGAAGAAATTTCCCAGACCTTTAACACAATAAGCGAAATCCATAAGGCTATAAACCACCAAAAAAATGACCATACCAAGGAGCAAGCATAGGTAAGTATAATAAAACTCCCTCAAGGAAGTAAAATAACCAATGCTATTTTGATAAGTGTACAAAAAAATTAAAAACAAACAAAAAACAAAACAACAAAAAACAAAAAGATGAATATCAAATCTGCCTGTTCTCTCTATCAAACAACAAACGTGCAAAAACACATTAAAAAAACATTCTAAAATTCAACGAAATATACCCTTTCATGAGCGTCAGAAATCAAGTTTAGGCTTTCATTTTCAAATCGGAATTGGCTCTGAAAGAAGGAATAAGACAAACAGAAAGGTATATAGATTATTTCATACCAACAAATTTTAAATGGGCGTGTGGGTGGGTGGGCCATAAACCCGTTACACAGACTTTCAAATCACGGCATGAAAACAGGTCTGTCATATTAGCATTATAAGGAGGCATGTCAAAGTCAACAAAGCAATGAACATCAATAGTAACATTATGAGTGTACACAAAATGGTTGGCAGAAGGTTACATATTGATGAGGTTTATGAAAAGAAGCTCTATTATGTTAAACTCTCACAAGACTTAACTGTTTAAAATACTTTCTTCTCATATTCTAAAAGTGTTTCCTGCCAGCTGATTCTGTTGATTTTAGTAGGGTAGCGAAAGAGAAAATAGATACTATTTCTGCAACATTGCAGTATGCGTTACTTTATGGTGAAATCAGGCACCTGTCAAATAAGGAAATCAAAGAAACCAACACTATTCCGCACTTTGAAGAAGTTTATCACTTCTTTTTTTTTCTGGCTCGAAACCTTTCATGTTCATTTAAAAAACATTTATGTGTGGATTTTACAGAAAAACGATAGTGAAAGGCACGAGAAATGAGAAATATAAAATTGCAGTTGCCAAGGACATTCAAACTTAGTAAGTCACCAAACATTGGCGGCCATTTCCTCATAAATTTTACCTCTCACATCAGGCGATCCAAACTCCTTTAATCGCGACTTTCATTCACGATATATGGGTGCTTTTTCAATCAAAAACAAAACAAACAAGCAGGTTTTCGGATTATACCAATAACTTCACATTCCTAAAAATTGACAAGTGCATGATTCCACCATGCCATGATACATACAATTGAAAAGATAGGACCAACATGTTTAAACATGACTAACGCATCAAACCAACAAAATTACAGAATAATTATGCAGCAACATAATCAGAAACAAATTTAAAAACAGCTGGGGAAGAAGCTCCATAATAGCCAACCTCTAAAAGAACTGTAATAAAAAATTAACTCAAACCCAGACACAGGTCAAATTTTATAATTTAAAAAA